TTTCAGTCTCATGCCTCATCAAATTGTGTACCTTGGTATTCGATCCAGGATCACCATGTGAATGCAAGATAACACTTGTAATATGTTCTCAGATTCGCACCTATTAAGATCAATATTTGAAATAAGCAAACTAGAAGGCATAAATTCTTGCCCTACGCCGATTATAGTTATAAAGCATGTGTCGATGTATCAAACTTGTAATTCACAAATAACGCTTGAGATAAAGCCACTTTGTTCATCATCAGAATAGAAAAATATATCGCCACGCCATGCATCACTATTGGTGTAAACAAATTCTAATTGGCTGAAAAATATGCTTTCTTAAAGTTTTTTGGTTGATGGAGTCGTCACCGCCATGCATATTTAAGAGGTCACTATGATGCACTTCAGCGTGTTCGAACACTGCAGGTTTACCAATAGCCGTGGTCAACTAAGACTCTATATGCTTGTAGAAGTAGACATACCGCGACTCAACGGCATAACCTCGCATCATTCTTTATGGCAGCATTGGACTAAACGGATTTTAATTACTTGCACAATAACGACTACATAAGAAACAATAATTTGTACTCTCTGATGGGTAACATAATGTTATTTGAAGCGTAAGATTACGATAAAAAAATTTTTGGATTAATCTTCTTTTTGCCTATAACTATTGTATCATAAAAGCTTTTTCTGTAACACTTTTTATTCATAACAGAATAAATAACTGTAAATGCTAAACTGATAATATATAGCTCTATCAAAAACCTCTTCACTCTAAACAAACTGCTAGAGCGCGCCAGAGAGTGTAAATTAAATTTGCCTCCTTTACGTCGAGAAGGCACTCGACAGCGTGGAATCGATGAGAACTATTTCAAAATCATCAAAGAAACGAATACAGGATGCTCGACCGAAATAACGCTTTTTTCAAACCTAATTCGTATACCGATCGAGAAGGGTGTGAGATTGGGCGACCCTTTATCACCGAAGCACTTCAATGCCTGCCTCGAGATGGTTCCGCAAATTGAACTGGAAGGACGGTCTGAACATCAACGGTGAACAGCTGAATCATCTACGGCTGGCAGACGACACAGTACTTATCGCAAAAGATGCTCAGCGAACGAAGTAAC